TTATTTATTCGGGTTTTCTTGCTTTTCGTTTTGGAAATTATTCAGGAAGAATTGAAGAATACGACAGTGAAAATGGTGGAGCAGAGTAAAGTTTTGAATACTCCAGGGGCAGAGAAGCAGACAAAAAGAGAGCTTTTTGATGCCCTTCGACAAGAACTTGAGTAAGTTTTCAACTTTCTGTACTAGATTAATTTTGTTTGGATGCCTTTTTATGCTTTTGAAACTCAAATTTGATAAAAATTAGATGCAATAATTTGAGTTACTTACTATATATCCTTGCTTTTGTTGTTTTATGTGCCTAAAGATTTATTAGAGCTTCAAAAATTGTGGTATTGTTGCTTCTTTGGATTTTTGAGTAATCATAGTTTTGAACTTTATGACACTGATTTTCATGGCTCTATTGGGAAGCCGCCAAAAACCCATTAAAGACGCCTGCTTTGCTGGAGTTGTTCCTAGGGATCATAATTGGTTAGCATGTTTTTGAAGTATTTATCAACACGCGGAAGAATTCATTTATCTTTTGTATGAGATGCGCATGATTTTCTAAAACTCTGTTTGTGTGTGTCTGCATATGCATTGAAGAAAGGAAATATATGGTACTTTGGCTGTTTTAAGTATGCCTTCAATTATGGTAAAGTAAATGCTCTACATTAGAAGATTCTTTGGTCTATGACCTTGGATTTTGGTAGTCTTAGTAGTGGTGTATATTAGTCTCTATGTTGTTCATGCGAAAGTTGGTAACCAGCTATCAATTAGGAAAGTATGTAAGCCACCTTTAATGATCATACTGGGTTCTGTCATTTTCGTTTGCATAGTAGATTTCATGTCCTTTATTCAGCCGGGGACCAGGAAGACTACGGGCAGAGAGTATGATGGAAGCACTTCGGATTGATGTAGGAAACAAGAGAAGTGTACTTGATGTAGTGATGCTTCCTGTAAAACAAAAATAAAATATTGTCAGGAGAGAAAACGGCAGAAAGAAGGCAAAAACAATCAAATATGGGGTTAGGATATTTGGATGATATTAAGTAGTAGTGTTCGTGCTCCTCATGTTTGGGGTTGGAAAGGAAAATCTTTCCTGATGGGACGGAGTATGCTGAATAGGTTTATACTTGCATTCAACTTTATAATGGTGAAGTTGGGCCAGACTCGGGTAAAAACCTTGATCATGTGCAAGTTTTCTTCAGAGTTTCTCCTCTCTTTCATTTCCATAAGGACTGCACCTTGGTTGCGATTTTATTACTGAACTCAAAGTTAACTGTTTCTGCTCTGGATTTAGGCCAACTTTGAGTTAAGTTCAAAAATTAGCCGGTGTCTTTTTTTTTTGGGGGGGGGGGGATTGCGATCACTCTTAGCACTGACATGGTGAAATCCTATTAAAAAATTCATCTATGTTTAAATAGGTTCAAGGCATTTACACTTCGAACTTATGGGAGTAAGTTATGGCGTTAGTGGGGCAACAGAAGTGTATAAAGAATATTTCTTTACAGGATCCTGTATGGAATAAATCTTTGAGCATCTCTTTTAGAAGTTTTGATACATAATGAGATGAAGCACAAATGAGAATGAGGGTATGTTCTACAGATTCTACAATTTTCTGTGATGTCTATAACACAATTTTAGGTTTTGAAAGTGATGAATTCCATAATGTCAGTAAACTAGAAAATGTTTTCCATGCAAGTATGCAAGCTTTTCATATAACTTTAGTATAGATCACTCGTTAACTGGTTATGGGAGGGGAGGAATATTTGTTAGAGACCTCTATCTATGAAATCTTTCAGACACAACATCTTATGGAGGAAATGTAGATGCTTCAAATGTACTCTCTTGCCCCGGAAGCTTGGTTTTTTCTATAGGGAAGAGTAGGATTTAGCTTATGATTTGGTGGCTGTAGTAATTTGCATTTGCTTGAGGCTGATTTTAGCAAAGAATTGAATATGTATTGTTGTTTTCTATTGGCAAAAAGGGGAAAATTCTAAGGGTATAAATTTATGATAATTATGGAAGAAAGCTGGAGCATCAATGTAGAACATATACATGAATTATGCTTTGGCTTGAGAAACCAAAGTTCCATAAGCCAAGCTGCAAGCTACTATATCTAAGAAGCAGCTGAGTTTCATGAACCATTCTACCGAGTAATCAGTTATCCTGGTTTAATAGCTGATTTTGCATAAATAAAGTACTTCTATAACCTTACTGATATTGGAGTTTTATTGTTGACTTTGAACACTCCTGGAAATGGCTCTCAGTTGAACTAGTTAAAAAAAGTATAACTGGAGAGGCTTCAATTAATCATAAACCTATGCAATGTAGAATTTGTAGACAAAGCGAACGCAAAAACTGATTTGGCAGTTTTTTGTGTTTTACTGTATCTATTGCTTAAAATGTCATCTCTGCACTTCTGATCTATACTTTAAACATTGTGGAATGTTAGGTTAAAGATTCGGACTCGGTTTAAGATGGCCAAAAATTTTCACACCTTTTTATTCCTATCTTAGCTACATGCTGATATTGTATTGCCTTCATGTTCAAAAGTGATTGGTGCGACAACCAATGAATCTGCACTAGCCGAATTTCCTAATTTCAGAAACAAAGCTTCTTTGAAATTTTTGCATTATGTTCTCTCTCTTATTCGTTGAGTTCACAATGTCAGTTACCCAAACACGGTGCATGATGTTTGTTGGTCAGCTTTTCACTTTGATTATAGTAAACAAGCTGCTAGAGTCACGATTTTGTTTGGTACAGCTTTGTATGTTGACAATGCAAGTATCATGCACTGTCTAAGCTTGTGTTGATGATCACTGCATTTAAAGTTGGTTACGCAACAATATCTTGCACCTTTATGGAAGTGTCTGGGTTATCTGAAGACTCTGAGGTTACCTAGATTCTAGTAAAAACTTAAGTTGTCTTTAAATGTTGACCCTCTAAACTGACAGTACTCACCAAACTGAAAGTGTAAAAATGATTTCACGGAGTTGTTTTTGTATTTATTAACCTTTTTAGATGAGTTTGGAACTATGTAGTGACTGATGCGAATTTGCCAGAAGGTTTTGTGAGGAAAAATAGTTGTTCCATATTGGTTCTCGGTTGTCTCTGAAGATATTCGATATGTGTATGCACACGCACACGCACTTTTTTGGCTAACAGAATATAGTTCTTTTGAGTATGCATTAGTGGCAATTAAATGAAGACCGAGGCCTACTTTCGCGTCTGCCCCATATATCATGATTTTGGGGAAAGAGTAGTTGATTCATTTCTGGTACCCACTTGCTTAAATTCATGGTTCCAAACTAACTTTTTTGTGGGTTTTGTTTGATTTGTGCAGAACGTCAGTGCTTGAGAAAGCCTCCAAGTCAGTGTGGGAGCTGATTTTGGATAACAACGGCATAGGAAAGGAATTAAGTCAAACAGTTGAAAAAGTTTTCTGTCGATTGAGTGGCAGAGAACCTCCATTATTTCCTGCTAGTGTTGAACTTGAACCAGAGAAAGGGAAAGAGAAAGAGACTGAAGAAAATGGAGGAAAGGAACAGGAAAACGTCATGGATAATTCGGATTCTTCAACAAAGAAGAGGAAATTTGATGAAATAGGCTCAGAAGAGGGAACAGATGAAGTTGCTAGCAGATAAAATGCTGCTGCACCAGCCTCTTTGGATGATTCTAGTAGAGTACCTCCTCCAAGTGCAAAATCGTGAACCTTCATCAGCAGCTGCCAGGTTATGAGGACAAGATAGTCTTCTTAATCATCTGACTTTCCCTTTCCTCTGACCTAGTCCTTTTTCAGATTTGCTGTATGCCGCCCATTTAGAGAGAAATTCATATTGCTTTCCCAGAAAAGAAGGGCATTACATATCAGTATTTCAAGCATTAATTTGGTTTCTTGGAGTGGTATGCAGAAGACCTCTTTGTTGTATGTCCTGAACTAGTTAGGATGAAAGGTAGAGCCAGGGACTGTAAATACTCAAGGGAGTCAGATTTCTAAGATTTATTTTTTCGGTTTCCATGTAGCTTCTGAAGTTCAAAGAATGAGTTTTTCCATCTCCTGAGGACAACAATAATTGCTTCAGCACCCTACTCTTTTCCAGACAAAGAATGTAGCTCCCTCCCCCCATCATATTTACAATTTTCTGTACTTTTAACTTGAGGAAGTGATTCAAAGCCAAATTTCCTGGTTTGTTTAAACATATTTGTTTGATCAGACATCCGAGGAGGATCTATGGATAGTAAAACAAGAAGAATAAGTAATTGAATCCAATCAACCAAGTCATTAGTTTGTCAAGATTGTATTGGTTGGTACATATTTTTACTAGTTTTTAATAGCATGGTTTTGACTCTTGAGTCTTGAATTTGGGGTGCATGAAGTTTGTTTTCCTAGGAAATTACGTAATCTACAAATATGAACACTGTCAAATTTAAACATGCTGAGAAACTGCTAGCATAAATGGACATGGAAGATTCCTCAAACAGCAGTCTGAGTTGGTTATGTTTCAAACGTTTAACAGTGTAAATTGGGCTTCACTAGCACTTCTTTCAAACCTTAAAGAATTAATCTTCATTGCACTAATAGATTAAAGAATTCAACTCAAGCTGTTTTTCATTGTTAAAAAAAAAATAAAAAACAATTAAGCTGTTTTTCTATTAATTTATTTAATATCCCTATAAAAAGAAAAGTTATACATATTTAGACATTCTAAATTTTTCAGAAAAAGATCAAGATTTTGTACACATGAAAATAAATGTTAAGTTCAATTATATTCCAGCATAAAAAAACTGCTAGAATAGCTAGGTACGTATCACAACTTCAACCAATTTTTTGAGTCAATTTCAAAAACCAATTTCCAAATTGAAAATTTGGAGACTCATTTGAATTTGTAGCATGCCATTAATGGCAACCGTGGAATAAAAATGCTGTAAACAAATTATCAAAGAAAATCTATAACTCTAATCAGAAACTAAAGTTTATTTGTAAACAGCAATAAACTAATCAATCTAATGTACTGGTTTCATACAAGCATAAACAAGACATTGATCATGATCAATGTAACCCTTACATTCCTAATTTAATCCTCATGAACAATCACCTAACTTCATTATTCTCAAAACAAGTCTAGATCCTAATTAAAATCTGCTTATTCTAATTAAAACCCTACAACCCTATTGTTCTTATAAATCTATATATCTTGGTTAAGAGCTAGAGTTGAAAATTCTTCAGTCATGGGATATGCAGCTAATGCATATGGACAGGGTGAATTGTTTGAAGTGTTTGTTGCCATAGCCTCATCAAACTCTTGCCATGCCCCATCTGCTGACTCTGGATAGCCAATTAGACCTCTTGAAACAGTGGGATTACCTTGCATTATTTGTTCTAGATCAAGAAAGGGATACATTGATTTCACCCTTGCTACAATTGAATTCTCATCCGATGATGATGATGAACTTACCATCTGTGCATTATCAACCAACAAATGATTCTCAATATTGTTGAAGTTTAGTAAGCCCACACTACTAAATTCATTGGATTTTCTCCTGAGCTCTCCAAGAGCCATGGCATTGGCAAGATGGCTAGAGAAATCACATCCCACCGGAGTAACAGCAGGTCCTCCTGGTAGATGAATTTGATTTGCTAATTTTGCCAAATTTGCTTCACTCAACAGTGCCCTTCTATGGTTTTCCAACATTATGAGATCATTCACTGCCATGTCAAAAGGAGGAAATTCCATAAACATGATTGCAAAATATTTTTTTATGCGTTTTTCTAAGAGTAAATCTTATATACACTGACGCTATTACGGTTGGATATACGACACATATGTAAAATTTGAGTTTTAAATTCAAATTCGAATTATGTGTCATGCATCTAATGGTGAAAGTATATACACTGTTAGTGTATAGAAGATTAATCTTTTTTCTAACTAGCTTGTGCCCACCAACAAAATATATGTAGATAAGATGAAAACATAATATTATTACCACCAGGAAATAATAATGTCTAATATCATAAGTGGAAAGGATCCTACATACATTTCCACGAGGTTGTCTACAAACAAACTAGGGTTAGAATTAAAAATAAATTCAAGTAGTCTTTTAACTTGTCAAACCATTAGCTAGTGAAACCCTAAAATCAAGGATTAGCCAAAATTTTTATTCCAAAATAACTTGTGCCTTGGTACATTATTGTTTAAGCTCATTTGTCCTCCTAGAGATACCTGACATTGGTAAATTTGAGTCCATCAACCGAGGAAGTGCTGCTTGTCTCAAATGAATAGGAAGGGAAGGATGGCTTGAATAGGAGGGGAGCTGCATCAGTCCAGCAAGAAATTGTGGCCCGTATCCATTGAAGTCGAGAGAAAATTCAGACAATCCATTTGCATTATTTGCATCATCAAAATAGAGAGATTCTTGAGATGGGAAAGGCCTTCGGCTCAAGACTTGTAGTCTTGGATCGCATTGCTTGAGCTTTTCGTAGTGTTTGTCCAGTATTCCTGGTGCAAATTTCACACGGTGCCTCCTACAAACGAGGCAATCACATGCACCAAATTATTTATCATAATATGAGATTTTATTTAATTGGGACATTTTTTTTTTTTTTTGCAAAAACTGATTAACTTAAATAGAATTGAACAATTTTTGTACATGGAAAATGCAAAAATGTTTGAAGAAAATTCACCACCATACCTACATATGGGAGCTTGGCCTCCGGTAAAATCTGATGCTTGTTGCCAAAGGGTATGCTTTCGAGGTTGGGGGTTTGTTTCTTTAAAAAATGTAGGAGGTTGCTGCAACTGCACAAATAATGCAAAGCATAAAAAATGGTTAATGATCAAATGATAAATATTAATTAGTAACTAATTCTAGCAAGTAACTAGAAAAGAAGAACAAAATATTTTTACTACAAAAAAGAAAATATTCACCTCAACTTCAAGAACTCCAGGTTGATCATCAATGATAGTAGCCCTAATACCTACAATGTCTGACCATAGTATTTCAATCTTACTCTTCAGTGCCCCTTCAAGAACTTCCCACACCAATTTGCGTTTAGCATAGTAACATTTTGCTACCAAATGACCTTCATTCATTGAGTGTCTCTAACCCAAAAAAAAAAAAAAAAAAATCCCTTGTTAGTAGATTGAAAAAAAATGGTCACAAAATTTTTTAAAAAAAAATTTCTTTAGTATTGCTAGGTAAAATCAAGGGGATCACCTCCCATGTGCCAATTTTGATTGACAAAGCTTGGAAGTTGGAAGCCTTCAATTTTTCAGCATTGGACTGGGATCCAATATCATCTGGCTTTGAAGTGGGCTTCTTGCTATCATATTTGCAGGCCAACTTAGAAGAAGCATTCTTGGTTTGTCTTCTTTTAGATAACTTCATCTCAAGCAAGCTTATGAGGGATGGTGACTTGCTCAATTTCAAACCAAGTCCACCTGATTCTTCAGATGTGTCGATTTTCTCTTCCTACATAGTATCAACATTGTAACATTAGAACCTGATAGTAGTATTTGGTGCAAAACCATTACTGAGAAAAAGTCACAAACCCTAAATAGATATGCATGTTCGAAGACCTTCACATGTAAACTACTAGGAAGAACAAGAAGAAGATAATCCAAATCCTCAAGACATGGACCAGCCACAAGAATCTTAAACCCTTTGAGGAAACACACCAAAAAGAAAAGGAAAAGAAATTAAATGGAACATAAAAATTGAACATACACAACGATTAAAAAAATAAACAAAGAAGAAGAAGAAGAAGAAATGAAAGAGAATATCATCCACCAAATCTGGAAAGACACTGCTATTTCTCCAAGTTAGAACCAAGAAAGCATGAACATGGTCCTAGAACATTTAGGAAGCAAAACTTACAACTCCAAATCTGATTGGTATGGGATGAAAAAGAGATAGCCAAAAAAAAAAAACACAAAAAGTACCTGTTGTTGGTTAGGGAGTGATAACTTGATTCTTTTGGAGCTAGATTCACCTGGGCTCCCGAAACCTAAGTCAACATAAGTAAAAAGAGGAGGGTTTTGATAGCTTTCTTCAGGAGATGAAAAGGGTCCATTTTCGTTATCGTCTTCAACTAACATCTTCAGATTCTTCACTGTTTTTGCCTGCTTTCCTTAACTATACAATGGAAGAAGGAAGTAGGAGTAGAAGTTCCAAGGCTCAGAATTTGGAGGAGGAATCAATCTATCATTAGATTCAGATTTGTTATAGTTTCATGCATGTGTAGCAGGATATATATGAAGACTAAGCCGCTTGAGCTTAGCAACAAAATACGGCGTTGAGAGAGAAAAGGAGAAATATCGAAAATATCGAAAATGTTCGAGTGACAGCGGCGAGTTAAAAACGGATGATAGTTGTTGGTGTTTTTCAAGTGGGATTGGACTCTTTCTTGACAGTGGGGCCTAACAATGTGAAGTGTAACTCGATGATGATCTCCACTAAAAGTCTTGGACCCTTGGAAGCAGGGACAACTCCTTCAAATCACTTTTCCATTTAGTTCTTCGTATGAAATGGTGTTGTGAAAACACTAAAGAAAAAGTACAAAGCAACGGAGTTACTTTCCTAGAGGAAAGAATTTATCACCTTTTCTCAAGATTCAAATTAATATTTTGCTTAGTTTTTTTTTGGTACTAATTAGTGTTATGAGGGCACTTAAAGTGGAAGGTAACAGAGTTATTTACATCTAGTCAAGATTAAAATTATTTCGAAGGTTTAATCACAATGATAAACTTGCCACTATACCAAAAGACATTAGTGACGACTTGTGATCTAGTAGAAGGCAATAATTGCTCTCTAATAATAAGGCTCTATTTAAGGTTCGGTGCGTGAAAAAAAGACGTTTTTAAACATACTTCTGAATAAGTCTAAACAACCATTCAAACTGTCTAAACTACAATAACATTGTATCATAAATCAAAAGACATTATTAATGAGTTTCTGATCTAGTAGAAGGTAATAAGTTATTTTTTTTCTAGTAAGACTCTGTTTTTGAAAAATCATGCATATTTCGACCCTATACAATAACATCTTCCTAATAGAATGAATGAGTTTTGGCCAAATTACAAGTTACACAATCTTAAAAAAAACCCTATAACTGCCGCACTATATCTCGACCCCTATGATTGGATGGAACTAACTCTTCTATAGCCATAGAAGTCTACAATCATCCAAATTCTACAACAAAGCTTCTCAACAACTATAAAAACATTGCATCATAAAGCGTTGAGTCAAATTTGTTGATTGTTAATTTTTAACTTTTTACTGTAAAAACCGTGCATGGTGTTATGCACTTCGGTTTTTTGCCAGATCAATCAGAATTGGTATACGACTTAAAAAGAACATATAATCTTGTTTCGTGTTTAATATGTTTGGGAATAGTCAAGTCCAATGGGCTAAGCTCATCTCTCTATTTCTTATTCGAATAATCAAATACTTTAATTTTGCAAAATATTCCGTATACCTCTGCTTTGGTTAGACTCAAGGGGTGCTTGGTTTGAGGGTATGCGATTCAGGATTTGGAATGATGTCCATTTTAAGTGCTTGGATAATAGGTATGAGATTGAAAATTTTGGAATGAATTCTAAAAAGTTAGCAACTCTCTATTCCCGAGTGAATTGGTGGGTTTTGTTAATTCCCATATTTGATTCCAAGACTCTTTGATGTCTCACCTAATCGGTCGCATTGGATTAGTGCATTTTGAGGTTCCCTACCCTCCTTCTTGTCTTCCCAACCCCAATCTTTGACATCAACTAACCCAGATTCTTATCCCTCTTCCTCCAAAGAAATTCTTGCTCTTTTCACAAACTCAGCTATTTGAAGCTGTTGCAGAGCTCCAGGAAATTCTTGATCTTCAAGATGCAAAACAGAAACTCTCGCAAGAAATCAGGTCAAAAGATGCTGCAATTCTTGCAATTATCTGTTCAGGTAAACAGTTCTTTGTTACGTTATTTTAGAAAAAAAATTGAGTCCAATTAACCCTTTTCAGTCATCTCATAAACTCGTATAATAAAATGGCACAAGTTATTTATTTATTTTTATGAGGAAGGCATAAATAGTACGTGTTTTTTAATGCAAACAAAACACATGTCGGCAATTGGCAATTGGCAATTGGCAAAGTGCTTAGGATATCTTCAGGAAAACAGCCGCCGGCGGCTATACAAAGGAAAAGAGAGAAATTCGCATTCAAGCAAAGTCCTTAAAGCAGTAAAACTGCATGTGGTAGTTAATTAGTTATATATTTCTTCTGCGCATACAAATAACGCAATTACAGTAAAACCTCTCTATAAATTAGTAGTTGTGGGACCATCCAAATTCTATTAATTTAAAGAGGTATTAATTAATCGATAAATTAGTAACTTATTAAGTTATTGAGTATACTTATAATTCGAAGAAACACTCATTTAATCATCTAAATTTTTATTTTATTTTATTTTATAAAAATTATGAATTATTCTATTAATAAAAAGAGGCTAAAAGTCTAAGGAATATAAACCAATCCACATCTACTTGATTTGCAAGTATAATTTGATTCTATTAATGTTTTCAATGTACATACGTAACTGATATCATTTTTCTGTTATAATTAAAGAGGTAAAAAACACTTAGAAATATTAAATGGCAGATGCCACTTCTATTTCATTAGATGCATACAATGAATCAGATTAACATAATGTATATAAATGACAAGAAGATCATTCTTATAATAAAGAAACACAAAGTTTTCTTACATATCTTATTGTTAAATTATGGATTCCTATCTAAAAGATGTTCATAAATCAACAATTCATATTTTAGGAAAATATGGTACGTAATTTTAGTAAATTATTAATTTATGATATGAATGGGACCAAAGATTGTGTAAGTTTTTTGAAAAAAAATTATTATCTTATTATTTTATCAAAGTTATAAATTTAGCTTGTTAGTACAAGTCGAGAAAAATTATCATTTAATAAAGGTTATTAATTTATCGGATATTAATTTATAGAGGTTTTATTGTATATTTTGGAGAACCTTTTAGAAGAAGCCATCTCTTTAAACTATATTAGTATGCGAAAAAGAAAAGTAAAAATGCTGAATTAAATTCTAGTGATGGTAAGAAAAACACCACTGTACCTTTTTTTCCTTTATATTTTGCATAGACAAAGGCATTTTTTTAGTCTTAAAACATTATCAACTCATGGTCACTTTTTTCTTTGCAGTTTTGTAGAATATGGTCTTTTGATAAATATCTGCTTTAATTGATGGTTTACTAAAAGTTTAAAATGCACCTATTGGCTTTTTAACTTGCTAAATTGGCCGGCTTGACTCCGGAGTTTTCATTTGTACTCCCCGAACAAGTAAGAGTAATGAGTTATTTTGTGGCAAATGTTATTGGCACTCCTAGAAAAATCTCTAACACTCTATTCTCCCTTTAAAAACATAAAAGGAGATGGAGCACTAGAGGAATTTTTTTTTTTTTTTTGGAATGCTATTATCATTTTCCTATATTTTGGATGTTCATTATTTTGCTACTAGTCTGGGATATAGTCCTTATCTCAAAGGATATGACACAAAAATAATATCCTTGTCAATGCAAGTTCTTTTGATCGAAAGTTTACTCAACATGCACGGCAGGATACATCAATAATTCAATTATTTGAAAACTAAAGCAAACATCTTCTTGGAACAAATTAAAAGACTAAAAAATGTTTAGTTTTGTCAAGAAAAAAATATTACCTCCAAAGTTGTGGGTCTACAATATGCAAGGGCTTTTGTTTATCGATAAGTATCAAGAAGATATAATTGGAGTGTGTTCGAAGGGCTAGAATATTTGGTATTGGAGCATAAAAATTGGAAGATGGATAAACTTTTGATTCCTTAATAAAAATATACATCAAGGCAGCACGTGAAATTTGCTTCTTTTTCTTCTTCCTTTTTAGCACTGACCAGTGCAAGGAAAAAAGAAAGCTTTGGTAGGCAACCATAGGATTTGTGAGGGAGGGCCTTCCTCAAGTCTCCTCTTTTCTTTATTGGACCTGCATGCGCATGCCCATCGTCATATGGGAAAAGGGTAACTTTATACTATTTGCATCTTCGTGATGATGTATTTTCATCCAGATTTCTTACAAGTCTTTGGCTGCTCGATGATTAGTGCATCTGAGTAAGAAAATGACACCAATCATTTGTTTTTTACGAGAGCACTCACCACCATCTGTCTTCTTATGGTGATGGTGACTGGTTGATAAACTAATCTCATGTACACTATTTTGATAATTAGTGAGCCCTCCTATTATATAGTGCTTTATTCGGAAATTTCGAACATCAATTATCGTTCATGAGTACTCACTATTAGAGAATGCTAATTTTACTCGTAAGTTCTACATATCGATTTTACACTTTTTAATACTCACTTTTTGAACTTGAATACTAGTTTATACTTTACAACGTTAGAAAAAAATACCCTTTAGACGCTTAAAAATTTTCCCATATTAGAAAGTCGTCTGCAACTTGAGAAGAAGCGACATTCTTTCTGCTGGTGGAAGGGTGACAGTTTCAATTCCCTAGTCGATGTATCCAATTCCAACCCCAAATAATCAGCGCCCACCCTCCACTTCTGCAACTCCGTGGCTTATTGCTACACTTCCACCAGCATCTTCCATTGGTCATCTACATAAAAGATCTTAGCTCAAAAATGAGATTCAATACTACTCATCATGGTTGATTAGTGAACTGTGTCTTTTGATGTTGAACAAGAAGTGTGCTTTCGTCCTGAGTTTGAAATGTTGAATGCAAACAACAGTTGAACTAAGAAATGAAGGCAAGCGGTTAATTGATGAGTAGGTACGTAGTGAGATAAACAATGCATATATGTGTAACCAATAGAGACAAAGAGGAGAAATTATTATAACTTCGTAAATCCTACATATTTCAAGCATGAGCAATAAACTAGTTGTTGCATAGGATGACAAAAATTGTAACCAATGTTCAAGAGAGATTTGTTTTTTATAGTTGTTTTTAGTGGTGTTTCCTTGATGAATATTATCATAGTATAAAAGGGCCTGTGCAAAATTTGTTTAGATGTTTTGTTTCTTTTGATAAAAAAAAAAAAAAAATTGTTAGGATAAGGGCCTAGCTTGTGGATAATTAACGCAGCCAAACTGTTCAAGCTGATAATGCGCATTAACTTTTCTCATTTAACCTTAATAAATTGGATTAACAGTCAAATGCATCACTTCATTAAAGAAAGTGAAAAGGAGATGCAATCTCTGTCCATTCTATATGAGAT